CGACAGTTTAATACTTGCCTCTGTGGTCCCGAGTTCGAGGACGGGGGTCTGCGTGCGGCGCTTTGGGGGGCTTGGCAAACTCTCGCGATGTGCCCCTTCTTATGGCAGTTGTTGCAAATGACTCCTTTAAGCCTGCAGGTGGCCCTCTGATGTGATCCCCCACAGGCTAGGCACAACGTGATGTGCTTGGGTGGACCGGTGTGTTCCTGTCTGGCCCCTACCTGCGACCGTCTGTCGTTGGTGAGGCGGTGGACGTCGTCTTCATCGTTTTGGGTTTCCTCCGCTTCCACCTCTTCGGAATGAACGGGGAACGATGCTGGTTTGGCACTTGGGCCCTGAATTTCGGTGGCTGAGTTCGTTGCTAGCTCGGCTGCTAGGGCCTCCTCGACTGCTTGCGCCAGGTTGAGGTCCTTTTTTGCTAGTAGGCGCCTCTGCAGGTTGAGATCCTTGACCCCACAATCTAATTGGTCGAGGAGCATGTCCTCCAGGTATGTTCCAAACCCGCAGTGCAGGGCTGCTGTTCGGAGGGCGGCCATATACTGGTTGATTGTTTCCTTACTGGACTGCTTCCTCATACGGAACGTGAACCTCCTGGCGATTTGTGAAGGTCTGGGAGCGTAGTGGTTAGTGAGGATCTCCAGCAACTCGGACCACGGGACGTTTTTCAATTCTCTCGGCGCTACGAGGGCCGCGGCGGTATCATAAACGGTGGCTCCGCAGTAGATGAGGAAATAGGATTTTTTCCGGTGTTCTCCCGCGTCTGCCAGGCCGACCGCATCTATGTAATGATTGAAGCGGTTCTTATACGACTCCCACTTCTCTTCGTCTGGTTTAAATGCCGGGAATGCTGGGTTGGAACTCATGGTGCTAGACAGCTGGGCTACCTGTAGAAAAAATCTCTCTGGGACTACAAGCGCTCGTGGGTATTAGTGATATCAGCTCTGGAGGGGTTTCTGCTAACCTCTCCTTCTCTCTCTGGGTTATCACGTTGACTGCTAACCGTTGGAGGTGTCTTGATTCGCGCCAAAAAAGTAGGCGTAGTGACTTCCTACAGCGCTGTGCTGTGTTTCTTACTGGTTTGAAATTCAAATGACACCCGTTTGAATTTCGCGCCAATGCAGAGCGGCTGCGGCTCGCAGTGCTTCACTTTCCTCGTAGCGGGGCTAACAAGCGGCTACAGACGCTTCTAACTTTTTTGAATCAGACCGCTTTCTCTGGCTGCGGATTAGCGTTTTGCTCTTTTTGATCGCTCGTTTTGAGGGCTGACCGCTCTTTCTGGGTGCGGGTCAGCGTTTTCTTATCGCCAGCCGATCACTCTCTCTGGGTTGCTGATCGGAGGCTACGGATCAGCGTTTCCTTATCGCCAGCCGATCACTCTCTCTAGGTTGCTGATCGGAGGCTAGTGACTCAGCGGTTGCACGGTGCTTCTGGTAGCCATCCCACCCTCGTCGCCAGTGTTAAGTTTGAGCAATGAGAGGCTGGACCAGAGCATGAGTGCAACAATACTTTATTTTACAATAAAGGGCTGACCGTGCTTGCCAAGCCTGGAACTGGCTCGCAGCAATCAGCAGCTGGTTGGGCCCCGCAGTCTGCTTTTATAGCTGGCTGCTGGGGAGAACCAACCAATGGGAATGGGGGAAAGAACGCCCACATAGTGAATGGACCTGAGTGAGAACTACTTGAGTCCTCAGGACATAACACTACCCAATGCAGCGAGGAAAGATCAGGCCAGTGAAGCCCCGATGTCCAGGTATAACCGCCAAAACTTGAACTCAGGATTGAGAAAGCTTGAGAAGAGCCTGCAGAGTCACCTGCTGAATCAAGACGTTTCTTCTTTCAGGTAGGCCAAATGGAGAAGAGGCCTGCCATCCTTCCCCCCAAATCCCCCTCCTCTCTTTCAAGGCGTCTTCCTCTTCCCCTCAGCTTTCCCCAGAGAGAAGAACGGGAGGCTTGGAAGTGGAAGGTTTTCCTGAGGAAAGACTCGGTTGTGGGTCTCTCCTCTTTCTTTACCCTGCCGGAATGTCAGATTATTACCCGTTAGGCAATCCAAGCCATGATTCAACA